ACCAAGAATATTGGATTCCACCTCCATCCAGGTTAATACAAAAAATGTAAAGTCTCCATCTTTTTTAGAGGCTGAATAGATTCCATGGTGTATATACCTGTGTCTATACCCCTCACTGGTATCATATGGTTTTGAGACAACTCTAAGACATACTGTAATGTCAGTAGTAAATATTTCAGAATAAACATTTGAAAGAAAGACTCTGATATTTTCACAATGAAAAACTCAAATTTCTGAGTGATCATAAAACCTGTTCAAGGGTAGATAGCTGCAAAGAAGGAAAGATGAATTTTAACACCTTATTGTGGAGTCCAGCTCTTTCTGTCTCATTCAGGGCTTTCTTGCTTTCCTTTTTCTATCACCTCCACCTGTTAAAATTCCATTTAAGCCTGTAGTTAAATGTGATCACTTCCACGACCCCCTGACGGTCACGCCTACAAAACATGATCACTCTCTTGGGTACTATTGTACCCTTTTATCTGTGCCTCTTTCATGGTATTCTATTCTGTCTTGCACTCTAATGTTTTTATTTCCCCACCCCCTTTGATGGAGGAAATAGAGAAGGCTAATTTAACTCATAAATCATTATCTCCGCTTGTGTATTTTAATCCAGTAGATTGTCAATACATGAGATCAGAAATGGTATCTTATTTAGTTTTTGGACAGAGTCTCACTTTGTCGCCCTCAAAGTATTGTGGTGTCATAGCTCACAGCAACTTCAAACACTTGGGTTTAAGCCATCTTCTTGCCCCAGCCTCCCAAGTAATTGAGGACTACAGGTGCCTGCCATAATACCTGGCTATTTTTTTAGAGACAGGGTCTCATTCTTGCTCAGGCTGGTCTCAAACTCTTGAGCTCAAGAAATCCACCTGCGTTGGCCTCCCAGAGTGTCAGGATTACAGGTGGGAGCCACCGTGCCTGGCCTGTTTTATTTTTGTAAATCCTGCAGTTTCTAGGTCTGCTAACTCAAGTAGGGTGGTGAGGTGTACAAACAACTAATTTAGGGAAAAATATAATTTCTTTATTGTCTGGTCACTGACATCTACTAACTCAGCAGGTTGATACAGAATGAACTTCGGGTGAGATATAATTTATTGTCTGGTCACTGACATCTACTAACTCAGCAGGTTGATACAGAATAAACTTCGGGTGAAATATAATTTATTTTATTGTCTAATCATTGATTCGAAATTTAAGGAGTATTTAGTTTTAAAGCAATTGTATTTCAAACTTTTAATAAATCTCTACAAACATAATTTTTCTTACCCCCTATGAAATTTTAAACATATACACTAAATTTCATATTAGAAATGATGTGAGATAATATTAACCCATGTATATATTTAACTATATAAACCAAATGTGCAATGGATGGGAGCTCAAAATGGTCATAAGTGTCCACAGTGAGCTTCCATTGCCTGGTATAATCATGACCTTAGGATTCTAAGCTCAACTATACTAGAAGTTGGGAGTACCTATGGAAAAAGAAAAGATTACCTTGTTATCTTAAATCATGACTCTAATCATTAATTTTGAAATAATTAGTTTAAAAATTAAGATGCCTTACTTGAGTTGTTGATGGTAAACAGATCTCAGGCACTGAAATAGCCAGAAACTCACCAATGCAGGTTCCATTTTCTGCCTTGGTCATTCCATTTGGACAAAGATCAATGCACTTGTAGCCACCTCGGGTGTTCTTACAGTGCTGATCTGGTCTGCACACATTCTGTCGACACTCGTTCACATCTTGATCAAAGAACAAATGTAATACAGATTGAGAAAATGATTTATTCCACTCTTCCAGAGAAACCATACTTTTGGATTTTAAGGACATTATAAACTACTGTAATGTACATGTTCATTGTGTAATCATTGTGTAAAGTAGTTTACATCCAAAGTATGTAACATAATATATTAGACATAACATTCTGGGCAAACTGACAGAATAATAAAAATAAAAAACAAAAGCAAAATATTGTTTCACAAAGCTGGTAATCATGCTAACCATTCTCCTCCTAGAGAAATGAAAAGTTTATACATATATACAAACTTCATATACAAATATACATATGGATGTATATCTTATTACTTTTGTTGAAAAATTCAGTAAATGGAGGAATTGTTAAAAAGAATGATTATATAATCAGAAAGTGAAACC